CATGTCACCCACAAAGATGTTAAACAACACCTAAGACTTGTTTCTGAATTAGTGTATTCAGAATAATTAAAAAATTCTCCGTAATGCAACAAATTTTGATGACAAGCATGTGCTAGCTATACTGTCTCCATGGTGCAGTCTTTCACTTTGGGCTCCTGCATTCTTGTTCCCTGCATTGCCTCGCATTGAGTATGTGCTTCCTGCATGCTCTGTCTCTTCATTTACATTCTTCTAACTGGGCAAAGAAGGCAACCAGTAGCAGTCTGTCTTCCTTAATTTAGCTAATGCATCTGAAAAACTAACTTTGTTTCATCGTATTCTTCAACTGGCCTTGTAATTCTGACTTCTCATGTGGTCTCACAGGCTGTCTACAGTTCAGGATATCTTTTGAACTAGATTTCTGAAGTCAGCATTTTATTTCATTTGGCCATTGTGAAGGATATGAATAGGATATGCATCTTAAACAGTCCGATTTTGTGTCTTGCCAGATTAATCTTAATGACTTTGTTGCACAAGACCACTTCTGCAAGCCGTATTTCTCACTGATTCCTTCACTTTAACTGTTGTCTTATATAGTTTCCTAGGCAAAGTGTACTTGAGCAGCTTATTTTATCACATGTAATTAACTTCTCATTCTACATAAGACTAGACTTTGTTTGACTGCAGGCTTAATATTTTGAGGCTGTGGAAGGGTAATTTGTTTCTATAAGTCTTTTCCAAACCAAGTGGATCAATGTCCTTAGTGAATTTAAAATTGTCTGCTTTTATGAACCTTTATTGCAAGGTCATTGGTTCATTAGTACTCCATAGCTGACTGGGAAATTTTTGAGAGGTATCATCCTTTTACCTGCCAGTTTTTTGCCTTCAAACCAGGTATTTAGCTTTTAGTTGACTTTAGTTGTCCTTTTGCTTGTATTTAAAAAACCCCAACAAAATAGACAAAAATCAACCAACAAAACAAAACAACAAAAACCCAAAAACCAAAAAAATCCAGAACAAAACAAAAAACCACAAAAAACCAACCCACCAAGCCAAAAGAAACAACAAGAAATTATCATATATGATATCATGAGCTCTGAACAATTTGTGTTTTGGTTTGTTTCTTCTGTTGTTTTTTGGTTTGTGTTTGTTGTTGAGGGGGGCTTTTAAGTTAATGAGCAGATGTTCCTCCTAATTGATCTTTTTGTATTTGAACTTGGGCAGAAGATTTGCTGGACAGCTATTTTATTTTTACAGAAATTGATTTGCTGCTGAGATAAGTGTTCTTCATCCAGAACCGTTGAGGACTTCAGTCAAATGGATGCGGGGTTCCTTATGCAGTACTGTCCCTTTATTGGAAACTTTCTTGAGGAAATGCTTTTGCTGATTTGATTCAATCTTTTTTTATTTTTGTTGTTGTTTTGTTGTTTCTACCCTCCTTTATGCTTCTTAAGTATTAGGGTGTATCACATGCAGATGCCTGAGTTACTGTATTTTGCTATATTGATGTGAAATACATTTTCACAGATTTGGTGATGGTTTGGGTTTTTTTGTTGTTATATTGTGCTGGTTTGGTTTGTTACCTCTTAACTAAACTTTCAGCCTCTTTTAGTAAGATGTCGAGCTTGTCATTGTCTTGCTCAAGCAAGGCCTTAAGTCTTCATTTCTGAGAAGCACTTTTCAATCTCTTATTTTTTGGACTAGGATAGCCTTATTTTCTGAGACTGTAGTTTTTGTCATTATTGGGGAGCTCTTGATAATTTTTGCTATTTAGATTGCTCTCAATTTGGAGTCTACTGTCAACTTCTTGATGATAGAGGACTGTCCTGGTTTTAGCCAGCTCTCTTTCTTTACCTTCTTCTTACATCATGTTTTTCCAGCTCCAGCAAATGGTATTTGCCATTCATATTTCTTACAAGTCATGTTTATTCAGTCTGTGCCTTTGAGCCATCATTATTGTAACTAGGAAGATTTTGGGAAAATTATGATAACTTCATTTCCAGTGGCTGTGACAGTAAACATAGCCTTGAGATACTGAAGTGTTCTGTCCCATTTAATGTATTTAAAATACCTTAGTTTGTGAAGGTGTACGGTTTGTTTTCCCTCTGCACAGTAGTAGGACATGTTAATCTTCTCCTTGAATCTACAGAAATGTATATTCTGTAGTGTGAACGCATTCTGATACATTATAAATCAGTGAAAATCTAACAGTCTAATGCTTCTTAGTGATTATTGCATCTGAATAAAATGTCCACATACTTACCTGAATAAAGACTAAAGATATAGCTTTAAAATTCAGTGTTTGTAAATTAATAGCTTCATTACTATCAAGTTAATGAAGTACTTGTTTTTGTAAACTGGCAGAAGTACTTAGGAGAAGAAAATGCATTGCTTGTTAAAGGGAAAGAATTTATTATTATTAGACTTTATTTTTTCTGCTAAAAACCTTTTTTTTTTTCATTAGTTTGATAGATGACACATTTTGCTTTTCCTTCAGATTGTTTGAAGAATTATATGAAGATCACGGAGACACACTTTCTCTGCAGTATGGAGGTTCTCAGCTTGTCCATAGAGTAAAAACCTATAGAAAGATAGCTCCATGGACTCAGCATTCCAAAGATATTATGCAAACACTCTCAAGATATTATAGTAATGCTTTCTCAGGTAAATTTAATATTAAGTGCCTTTTTAAGACATTATTTAAAAAGCATTTTACTTGTGATGTTTCAATAATCTATACTGAGATTTTATGACAGAGATCCTCTGTATTACAATTTCCAAATAATTTGGTAAAATCTGATGGATATCAAATGGGTATTCTGATTTGATGAAGTATTTCTATCCTACACAAATGGAAGTTGTAGCATGCAGCCGTATTTGATAAAAGTTAGTGAAATGATTTAAGAAATATTTTGGAAATTACACATATACACTGACATTGTCAGTGACATCTGTAGATCAATAGAGAAGCAGGTAGCTGTTATAGAGCTGTTAAAGTCATGGTCAGAATGGCTTCAACAAGTAAAAGGGAACTGGTAAATCTAAACACAAGTAGAATGCATTGAATGGAGTATTTCTTATGGTGTTTCTTGGGACATCAAACGAAAAAAAGCTCTGATGCATGTAATTGTTCTGTATGCATAGAAGTTACGAACTGTTGAATCTGTGGTAGAGAAGACAAAATTAAATTCAAAAAGCAAAACACCAAATAAACAAGCTATTTTTGGCAGTGAAATAAGTTGTAAAATATTAACTTACTGTTTTACTAACTTGTATCAGTCACTGATGCTGTTCTATTTTGTTCTGTATAACATTACTAAGAAAAAACCTCTTTGAAAAATGCTGAGCCATGTGCAAAATAACTGGAAAAAATGCTTAGTGCTTTTAGAAGTTGTAGTCTAAGGCATGTCAAGATGGCAAACATTGTGTTCTGAATTTTGTGTCAGTCCTTTCTTACTCTTTTTCACAAAAGCTGCATAGCCAGGGAAGGATGTAGCTTTTTTTTCTAATAGACTGCAATTATATAGAACCTATGTGAACTTAAAACAGTAAGTTGGACACTGGCTAGAATAACTTCAGTAATATCTGATTTCTTTGGCTGAATTTACTGGTTTTGTTAGTGACAATTCTATGTATGCAACAAAAGGTGAGAGCACGGTATTTACAGTACTATTTCTGATGTAGGTCTTGTAATTTGTGTATCATTATTTGCTCAAATTAGATGAGAAATGGCAAGCCTGTTTATTTCAGTGATAATGATCTTTTATTATTTGCAGTGGCAATAAGGTATGATTTTCTCAATTCTTATGAGCAAAAGGAAGCATACTTGCAGGGTATTGCCTGTACCAATAAGTAAAAGATGGAGCAAATCTCTGAAGCTTTTCATTTTTATGCCAGCCACTTAAATATTAGATGGAAGCTTGAGCAAAATTCTAGATCCACATTTGGGGTTGTGGTCTGCTTACAAGAATAGTCATGCTATGCATATGGTTTAGTAATGAAAGAATTTGTCCTGAAAAAGATGTTACAAAAAGAAGAATGAATACATAATGAAAGAGTCCATCTTGTCAGCCTGGTGAACTTGTAGCTGAGTACACAAACAATCTTTACTGAAGTCAGTATGAAAAATGAAACTTTCATAAAGGTGTTGCATGCTTTCCCCAGTCTACTGATGGTTTTGGTGTTTGAACGTGTTTGAGCCATGCATTTTTGGTGCTTTACAAATTTCATGTATTTGAAGATTGCATTGTTGAAACATGGCATTCAGTGTTGTATTTACTGCATTTTTAGTATGAAATGTAAAGGTCCGCTGTCCAGCACTGCCTGTTCAGGTGTCATCTGCAAGCCTGCTAATGTGGCACATTGAGAGAGATCATTTTATTCTTGAAGTTTTCTCAGAAAGCAGAGATGAAGGAAGCATTTTTAGAATAAGATTCTGAGTTTTTGTACTGCACTTAATACTGTTACATAATTTAAAATAAAAATAAATAAAAATGTAAGGGCCAGGCAGTCCAGGAGCCAGAACTTACTTGTATTTCTGATCTGAGAAACATTCTTAATACTTACGAATTTTATGTACTAGTTGCGAACTCAGAAAATTTTAGTGATTTGCTTGAAGTCTCATGGTGTATCAGATTCAGAACAAGATGATATGGCCTGCTAACAGTGCCTCCTAAATAAATCACTCAGCCACACTTGTTCTTCGTGTATGGTAAAAAATACATTATTCTAAAAATAATTTACACTTTTAAGAAAATGGTTTCATCTGTTGACCTCAAAGCTCTAGGATAATCATTACTAATTGAGTTGTACAGGAGAGGAAAAGTAAGACAAGTATCAGTTAAGTGACTTGCCTGGAGATGCTTATCTAATAGATGAGCCTTGGACTTGTAAGAAAGATAACTTTGAATGCAGTTCAACCCTAGTTCATGATATGTGGCTTAGCTTTTCTGTAGATTTTTCTGTACCTATAAATTTGTAATATGTTGCCTATATAATAGGAGAGTGAAGAATTAAAAAAATATTCTCAGGATCAAGTTAGCGACTGAAGCTTAGAAGAAAACCAGGGTTTCCTCCTAAAAATATGGGACAATTACTTTTATGGTGACTCGAAAAAAATCTTACAGGTCTAAGCAAAAATTCTGACTTTTTTCATGCCTGTTTTTAATTATAGCATTTGAAAAAAGTAGAGGCACGGTGTAGTTCAGGTAGTCAACTTTTGTTTTGAAGAACTCTGGTTATAAGCAAATTAGTTGTACCAAAGGAAAGAACACAGTCTAGCTAAGAATATAGGTGTTCCTTCAACACCCTCTCTGGCAGGCATTCTGATTAATTGAATTCTAACATTTTTATTTCAATTGTGATTGTCAGAAATTAGGAAATGGTATTCCAAATAATACTTTTCTAGCTTTTATGCCTTTTAGAAAGTAATGTGACATTGAAGGCTTCAGTGCTAAGAATTGCAACATGCATAATAAGCTTCTGGAATCTGGAATAATCTGTTTATCCACAAACAGGACTGGGTATAGTAAACTACCTTGTAGTGTTGAATGAAAGTAAACTTAATTACTGTAACCTTTTAGTCGTAGGACATTATAGTTGCAATTGCGTTGAATCTCTCATGACTAGTAATTTGTCATGTACTGCAGTTGCAAACTCAGATTTAGAGCAGTAGATTATTTTAGACTAATTCAATTAAATGGCCCCTTCAGTTCCTGTTTTCTCAAATGGTCTTAAAAATGTGCTGGTATACACGTACATTGCAGTATCTTTTGAAAAATCAGTGCAGTCTTTTTACTTGCTTGTACATAATTACAACATTTGGTGCTAACAATGAAGGGAGAAAACCTATTTGCTCTTTTGTCTGTGCTCCACAGTGCATTGACAGAGTCTTATTTATTTACTTTTGAAAACGGATATTTTTTTGCTATCTAAATAAGAAAATTGATCTGAAAACCTCAATATCCTGTTTTCTTTGGCCAGCATTTCAAAGAAAGACAAAAGCTTTCATTATTTTTGTTCAAAATTAAGTCTTAGAATTGTTCAACCCTTAAAGTAAGGCAGGGAGAGGACTGTCACCTTTCAGGTTAACTGTCTGTTTCCCCAGTCACATACGTTTGTGCCTGCTTGAAGACTTACGCACAAAGAATCTTTAATGTTAAGGGGTTTTACCTGCTTTAAAATCATGAGTTGAGAAGTAAGACAGTAGAAAGACATTTTTCTGATAAATGTCCTGTATTTCTGTTAAATTTAAAAACATAACTGCACAGATGGAATAATAAACGCAAAAGAGAGTTTGAGTCCTTTTGCAATGTAACATTGAACACCAGTCTTTTATTCTTTTGCTACAGAGCAAGGTAAGAATGCTTTAATGAACTGCTGCTATTGACCAGTTCAGACAACAAATTGGTTAATTCAGTTGGTATGAGTTTAAATTCAGCTGTTTTTCACTGAACAAATTTCATTTAGTTCTATTTAATTTTAGCATCTGTCATATAAGCAGTGACATAGTTTGTTAACTGAATAATCATGTTTTACTCTAATTGTTTTACAGTTAGTTAACAGTGTCAGTATACCTTCTGTTCCTGGTAGGTGAAACAATGGTAAATGAACAAAGGAGGCTTATCTCTGCCTTTAGCTTTCAGAAATTACCACCAGTTTTAACATAGTTGCTCATGTTAATTAATTTTGTCTTTAGGGCTTCTCCAGTTTCTATGCTTAGAGAGCTTTGTTGGGTTTTGTTCAGCACTTTCTTTAAACCACTAGCCAAATAACTTATCAGGAGGAAAGAATACACGTTACTGCTTTTGACTTTTCCTTTCTTTTTAATTCTTAGTGTCTTCAACAATCTTTTCGTTTGTTTTTCCAGACCTTTTTACTGAGTTTTGCATAGCTTTCTTGCACTGTTCCCTGCCTTCCTCTTTCTCTCCTTATGTCTTGGTTAAACTATGGTGCTACATTGCAGAAACAGTATGGCCTACAAACCATAAGGACCTATGTATGCTTTTGAGTATTACTGTGTAGAAGAGTTAATGTTTGTAAAGTGATCCTTCTAGAAAATTGGAAAGGTGAGGAGCAAGAAAGGAAGTAAAATAAGTATCTTTCTGCAAGAGTGCTCTGAAGGGACAGCAGAAGTATCTGGAAGGGAGTATGAGTGGATAGAAAAGGAAGAAAAAAGTGTTACTACAGGTGAAAGGTCCTCAAGCAGGGAAGGGGAGCCAAGTAACATCCAGAGGTTTGCTTTTTTCTTCCCTTTTCCTGGTGTCTTGGCCTGTTACACCCTGTGACTGTTTAAACAGAAGATTCCACTTCCAAATATTGACCTTCACCTATGCACATTTCCATGAAATACAATACTTTTCTGTAATCATATTGTCACCAAATTTCTACATAGCACTTCATTTGTCAGCTGCCTAATTCCCTGTAAAAAGTATTGTGAGACATTTGAATTATGGAGAGAAAGAGGTATTGACTGAAACTTTAGTGGTAGCCAGGAACCAACTTTATCCTTGCTGTCGTACCACCACTTTGTGAATTCCACCTATTTCTTTTGCCTGCTTTCTGGTATGCTGAGACTTCAGTTTATCTTCTTGATGCGGTGTGTTGCTAGAGGGACACTCAACTGTCATACTCCTTCTGAAATATGGAAAGAACTGGAGGAGTAACGCTGTCTATTGAACTAGTCTGAACTATATCTGCCTGATGATTACTGAAGTGCAAACAAGTGGAGATGAGCTTTCCACATGCTAATTCCTCAGGGCATGAATAGACCTCAGTTCTCCACATATTCCCCCTTATCTGAAGCTCCTTTGTGTTTAAGCCTTCCTCTACCCCTATGACTCTGGTTGCAAAGGTCTTTATCACGGTTCACCACCCCCAAGCCCTCATCTGACTCCAGCTTTTCTTCATATCTGTTGTAACTCATCCTATCTGCAGCTAAGCAGCAAGAGAGGTTTTAAAGATGTAAGTGAACAGTGTTTCTTGTCTTGCTTCATGTAACTACTGGATTTTAGTACTGGCCTTGATGAAGCTTAGAATATGGCAAGAGAAATTGATAATTTAAGCCAACAGCAAAAAAAGCCCAAATTATTAGAAAGTATTTGTGAAGTTTGATCGTTTTACTATGTTTTGGCTAGAAAACCCCAAAGAATTCATAACTTGTGTGTTATGTGGAAAACTTGTGTATTGTCTGGATACTGTTTAACTTCACTATATCATTCCTCTGTTAATTAAACTGCAGTAAATTTGTCATATGTCAGATTCTTCAATACAAGCACATACTTCATGCATACACATATATATGCAGAGGTGGGAGACAGCATGAGGTCTCACTTCTGCAAAGCCACTAAGCAGAGCTGCTGCCTCAACTCTTTGTGAGAGAAGCCAAGGAAAGAGGCGGTACTGGTACCACCCCCATGTGTGGCAGAAGTTCAGATCTAAAGGAAGTTTCATTCTGGTGGTTGAAACCCAGAGGTTCTTGTGGAAGTCATGGGAAATATACGCTGTCTGTGAGGAGCAAACATAACAAACAAGCAGATGTCTGAATGGGCTTGTGCTCTGAAGTGTTTGTGCGTTAAGTGTACCTCTTGTCTAACAGATGCAGACAGGCAAGATTCTATCAATCTCTTTCTGGGAGTATTCAAGCCTACAGAAGGAAAACCACATCTCTGGGAACTTCCCACTGATTTTTATTTGCATCACAAGAACACCCTCAGTCTGTCACAGACCAGGCGAAGGTATTTTGCTGTTAATTTTTTCTGTTTGGTATTGCTCTAATAAACTTTAAAAAATACGTGTTGTTAACAAAGTAATTTGGTCAGCCTGTCAGAAACTTGCTTACAGTTTTTAAAGTTTTTATGAAAACTTTAAAAAAAAACCCCAAACCCCCAAACCTTCAAGAGATTACCAAAAATGTTGGATGTCGGTGTTTTGAAGGTTTTGGTTTAGTATGTTATTTTCCTGTTCTACTGGGAAAAAAAGGAAGTTTCATTTAATATAAAATTCTATCCTGTGGTATGAAAGGCTTCACTGTTTTACCAAAATATAGTTACCAATGTCTCATTAAGCAATATGCAGGTGTGTTTTTGATGGTTAGATTTATTAAGTTGTTGTATTTGAGATTAGGTGATGAGGATAACTTTTTTTGTGTGTGTAATGCACTTAGTCTACAGCTGTGTATACTGAGAAGCCCATGGTTTTCTACCTTCCTTTCAGCCATGTCTAGACTGTTTTCCTTCATTTACATTTCACTGTAGTTGCATGATAATATGCAGAAGTAATAGTGCTAAAGTGTAAAGATTTTAAAGTAACTTTAGAGCGCTTCACAATGTGGAATAATTTTGTTAAGGATTATAAATATAATTTGTGTAAAATAAAAATCCATTTTAAGAAAAAGGACAGTACTAGACTGATTAGCTAAACCATCTCTCTTAGGAATTTTGCTGTTTGTATCTTTGTTCATTCTGTGAGTCTTAAAGCTCTATCACAAATGGTAGATCTGAATATCTGAATTTAGATTTTTGTCTGGGGAAAATTGCAAGTATTTAAACAGTACGTTCAGTCCCTGTTGACTGCTTATTCCATTAACCCATCGTGGCAGCTGGCATGTTATATCACTGTTTTTAAATTTCAGTCCTTTTGTATTGTCTGCTGAGGCTTCTCTTGATGCTAGCTTATCTCAGCCATACAACCAAGTGCTATTGCAGGGACACGTGAAACATGCAACTTTAATTTTATTGCCTACTGGTTCTGAACATTATGTCAAAAATGAATTCACCTGATGTACTCAAATATATGAATGTCCTGGTCTCCTTTTCATCATTTACTTTGTTAAACAACTGTCCGATAGTCACAGATACTGTTCTCAAATGAGGTAGAACATTTTAAAAAATAAATTGATGGTATTCTTCATTTATTTGATAATTATTAATTCTGGCCAGAATTTCTGAGCAGTTATAGTATACAACCAAGTCATTTTCTTATACGAAGAAAATGACACCTCCATCTAATAAGTAGTAGGGTGAAAAAAGCTCTTCCAAGTAATTTTTTGTTTCTATCAAACTACTGGACAAATTCCTTGTATAACTTCTTCCCGCCTCTCTGTGCAGTGCCTCTTTTGTATTCCTTAGGCACAGCAACAAAGGAAATAATGAAAACTCATAATGAAGTTAAGGATATAGGAAGAAGAAGATGTTGTTTCCTGTCATTGAAACTTCTTTTTACTATCTGTGTTTTTCCTATATTGTATTTGTCTCTTCCTCAGAATGAAGAGGTTTCAGAACGAGTTTCATATACTACTTTTATAAAATTTGTGATTCACATGAAAGGACAGTGAATATGGAAAAGGAGACTTTCTGTTGCAGTATTACTTACCATTTCTGCAAAAAGAACCCAGACAAACTGGGTCTATCTGCATAGTTTCTGAAAGTACTGGATAAAATGGCTTGCTAGCATGACCTGATACAGTACTGCAAGAAGAGATGGGACTGTCAGGGTCTATCGGAATCATTTAGAAAAGAAATTAAAGTATATTTGGGAAGAGAAAATAAAAATACATAAATATGACTGAAAGATAAAACATGCTTTGCCTTATGAATGTTGCTTTACTTCTTTTGTTGTTTTTTTTTGGAAATCCTAAATAAGCTTCCAGCAGGGCCTGATTTTGCTGTTAGCTGTGCCAGCTTACGGTTCTCAGAGTTAGGACAGCTGTCACATCAAAATGTATTTCTGTGTGTAGAAGTCAGCTGCTTTGACAATCTTCTGATTTTGTTGTCATTGACCTTCATTTCTTCATACGCTTTTCTTAAATTTTAGGATCTGAATGACAAGTGGTGGGCAGGGCAGGGGGTGATTTTTTAATTATTTTTTTTTTTAAATTTTTAATTTTGAAGACCAAAACAAAAGAAATACATAAATACCTTCTATAGGTGCCAAGTGCTCAACTTTCTGTGCTGTAGAGGTAGGCACCTGATATGTATTTTGTTTATTGGAACAAAACCACTCTTCCCTCTATACCAGTATTGACATTCATGTGTTTAAATTTCATGACCTGAGAGCAAAATAGTAGAATGAGGGGGCCTGTTGAAATAAATCCTCTATCCACACTTGATTTATAAAGAAATGTTTACTAAAGTGACATTCTGTGGCTGGGTAATTGCTGCTATGTATAAATGTTTAGACTAGATACAAATCAGACCTTCTCTTTCAATTATGTGCCTGTTCTTCCTGTACAGTTATACTTACTGGTGGACCACAGGTGTGCTAAAGCATTTACCTCTTCCTTTTGATGAAGGTAGGAACTACATTTGCTCCTTGGCTTACAGTGTATTTCACAAAAAGAAGTTTTAGTCACAAATGCTTTTTAACTGGTTTAGATCCCAAATCTGAAGAAAAAATAAATGTTCCAATAGTGATTGCTAAATACCTTCTTTATTCGCCCTTCCACCTACCCCCAATGAACTATGATTTTTTAACTGCAGGATGCAAGACATACCTAAGTGGCTAAAATTTGGCCTCCATGTGTTTATGTGCTAGGGCTCACTTCATTCTTTTTTTTTTTATTATTTTTTTTTATTTTTTACTTATTAACTTACATTTAACATATATTTATAGCCTGTGCTGCTGGTTACATTCCTGTTGCAGGGTATAGCTGGTGTGTCTTATTTTTCTGGGATACTGTTTTATTAGGAATTGTTATCATGAAGGAAAATCAATTTATGGTGGTTGATCATGCATATTTATTAAAGATGTGCTATCTTCATGTCATATTTTCTTGCCTTAGAGGGGATATGTCTGTAGAAAAATGCCCGTTGGGGTGGCTGGGTAAGCAGTCTGCTGTTTGTTTAGACTTTTTTAGAGTCAGTAATTGTTAGTAAAAAGATTCTTTTATTTTTCTTTTCCCCAGTGGCATGCCCTGAAAACAGACGCAAGTTGACAGTGAAGAAATTCCACAAGTATGAAGAGGAAATTGATATCCACAATGAGTTTTTTCGGCCATATGAGTTGAGCAGTTTTGATGATACCTTTTGCTTGGCAATGACCAACTCTACACGGTATATTGGGTTGTTTTGTGACTATAAATGTTTAACTGGAAGTTGATTTGGTGTGAATTAACTGTACGTTTGATGTACTTGGTTACATCTGTATAACATGGTGAGTTTTGGGGAGTGTTTGTTTTCTGAGGATTTTTTTTTTAGCTACAAATTCAGAAAACTTATAGTAACTAAATCACAATACTGAAATGGAAATGGTACTGTAAAAAATTCTAATAAGATAGCATTTAAATTTCCAATTATGTTCCATTGTGGGGTGCCAAATGTTTGGGCACTTGAAGGCTGAGAAATGAGCTTTTCTCTGTGGACCTGGGTTGCAGAGGTTGCCTTCAAAGCAATTGTTTTCTAATTGTTCTGCTTTCATTTTACAATTGTTTTCTTCAGTTCATCAGCTTCTCACAGCTGGCCAGATAGTTTTGGTTGTGGTTTTGTTTGTTTTGTTGTTGGCAGCAATCAGCTGGATATTCTGAGATTAATCTTAATCACTTTTTAACTAAAGACTTCCAGGCAGATTATGTTTCATGTAGCTTTTTGACCCAGTTTGAGTGTTGGCAGCATTTTGAAAACAATGTAGCTGAGTTACGGGGCTTCTTCAGCAGGGGAATGAAGCACATTGCTCAAGCCTCCTTGGAAAGTGGTAATGTTTGCAATTGTTTCATGGGACTAAATGCATCTGAAAGCTTTTTAAATACTTGAGGGTTTATATTTACATGACTCTAACTGGTAATGATGAAGTTAAAACTTGATTTTTTTTTTGTTTATTTTTTTCTAATTTAGAGGTAGATGTTAGAGGTGGTTCTTCCAGAAAGTTTTAAAATTTTTGCTCATGAGCAACTTTTTCTTTCTATTTTGCCAGAGACTTTATGCCTAAGAATGTGGGGATTGATCCAAGTCCTTTTACTGTTCGTAAACCTGATGAAACTGGAAAATCAGTGTTGGAGTAAGTCTGAAATACAAAATTTTGTTCTAGTTTAGTAGTAGTGAAGTTGTTATGCAAATATATAAACTCTCTGCGTGTCTTTGTAGCATATTCTCTGTTACATGAGAAATAAATAATTGGTGTTATAGTGTAGAATTGTATACTTTGAAAATTATATCGAATGTGAGATTTTTAGTTGACATTGGGAATTCTTTATTCAGACTTGTTTAATCTTTTCTGTTTTCTCGTATTCCTCTAAGTGAAACCCATGAGAAAATTTTATCTAGAATAAAGATACAGAGGTTGCGAAAATTTGATCATCTTGTGTAATCATCATAATACTAGTGGCAACTGTATTTTCTATTGGAGATGACAGGAATGCATGTATGGTTGTCTTTTTAAAAAAGAAAAAAAAAAGTTAATTTTGAATAAATAGAACATAACCTGAAACAGCAGTAAATGCCAGTGCCAATTTCAGCATAGTTTTTGATAGAGAGTGCTATTAAAATATTTACAGATAACATAGAAAATAATTCACCAACAGTTACTGAGACAAATGAATGTTTCATTTAGCTGCATCCTGGACTTGCTTTGTTACTTTATGCATTCCATTGTAATGTTCTGTCTGGTGTATCACAAAGGCTATGCGAACTCCTCCTGAACCAACTCATTCTCTCTTTGATACCTCATATAAGGAAACCTTTTGCCGATAATGACTATTCCTGTGCTGTCACAACATTTTAAGTTCATCTGAAAACTTGCTGTTCTGCAAAAAGCTACAAAATTTGACTGTCTCATAAATAACATCTGTTGTGCCTTGACCCTGAGGGACTCAATAAATGTTGAGAGTAGGCTATGCTCATCACTAGTAGAACCTGATTTCATGCTACTGATGTTCTCTGGGAGTAAGCAGAATGACTGTTCAGCAGTTCTACAATTTACTTCTGCTAAGATTTGTGAGTTTATGGGTAGTTTTGAGGATAAGTTTTATTCTTCTGCATTGATATAATGTCGTGTTTTGGGTTAACTAATTTCTTTCCAGATATTCCATTAAATACTTGACCATTATACATTTTTATCAGGCACTTTGCTTCAAGCCTTCCACTGTGATTTTTAGGGATTTTTACAAGATAGAGAATCAGCTAGATCAAAGCTACATTCCAGGGCTCCTTGAGTATTGTTCCTAAGGCTTCTCATGCATTGGCTGTGCAGTGGGGTAAAAGATGGCTTCAGTCATCCACCTTACCCATATTTAGTTCTAGGCAGACGTGGTATCTTTGCTGCTGTAAGTGTTCTGGTTCCCCAGTGCAAATAGATTTTGGCCTTCTGAGTATGCATTGGGGATGGGGCTATCACTTTTGCCATTATTTGGCTACCTGCTTCATTCTTCAGCTCTAAGAAAGGACTGCTTTTCTTGTGACCTCTACCTCATTTAGAAGAGCAGGGAAGATAACGTTAATTTTCTCTAAAAATGATGCAGTATGTCTTCACAACTGTCTGTAAATTTCAGTCTAAGGAGATGTCAGTTTTTCCGTAATTAGAAACTAAACTTACCTGTAGTGTTTTCTCCGCTAAGGTATTTGTTCCATCTGTAAGAATTATCCTGATAGATTAATGTCCTTGGGAGCAGGGTATGCTCTCAGATCAAGAACCTTTGGGAGGATGCTCCCACTTGCTTATATGTGTTCCTAAAGCATATAAAGTTTAGCTAGTTCACTACAGGGATAAACTGCTGTATGAGTTTGCCTGCAAAAGGCAGAGTTCTTTGTGACGGTCATGGTCACATGCTCCACTAGAGCTCAAGTGATACTGGTGACCTCCTCACAATGGTAAGTGACATTATGATTAAGACTTTGGGGCCCAAGATTAAGAAAGCTGGAAAGTGAAACTTTTTCCCAGATTGAAACCAAAGATGTTATGTTTCAATGAATTTTTATGCCTTTTTATTCGTTCAGTCTGCGGAAGGGATTTAAGTAAGGAGTCAGAGAATTCATGGAGAAAAGCTGACATAGTCCTTTGAGCTTTCTTCAAATGCTGTGGAATAAGAAGAGATTGAAGAAAAGTAAATCAATTGGGGGATTCAAAAGATTAGCAAGAAGTTGCTCCAGAGGATAGAACTCATTTCCCCAATAGGATTGTAACCAAAATTAGGAATTTTAAATACTTGTAATATCACACCAATTTCATAAATACATACTGCTTTTCAAAATAGGAACAAAAGTAATAGAGAAGAAACGGTGCTGCAGCGCAAAACAGCTGCTAGTGCTCCTCCACCCCCAAGTGAGGAAGCAGTTTCAAGTAGTTCTGAAGATGATTCTGGGACAGATAAAGAAGATGAAGGTGCTGTTTCACAGCGTTCAACTCCAGTAAAAGTGACTGATGCAGGAGACAATACAAAAATCACAGAGGTAAGAAATTACTGTGACAGGCAAGAAGGCTAATCATGGACTTAAAATTCACATTTCCTTAAAGAAACCCCCCAGTAAATACTATAGAACTGTCAGAAGTAAAGCACTGAGAAATTAAGTGATAAAGGTGTCTGGTGTAATTTCTTTGTGTAGATATTGGCCAACTGCTTATAAAACTTTGCTGCTATTGTTACTGTGTAATAGTGAAACATAGCAAAAAAATAGCATTTTTTAAAAAAATTAAAATTACTGATAGAAACCTGAGGCATTTGAAAGGTACTTGGGTCTGGTGTGGTCCATTAGATAAAGCATAAAATGTATCTATGTTAGTGTGTTAATTCAGAGCAGTAGTGCACTTTTGATCATTATCCCTTACCATGCTTTGGCTCACATCATGCTCCACACCTTGGAGTGTGCAAATGGGATATTCCATTCTCTTTTGGATGAAACTAAACTGAAGTGGGAGATGCTTCTCCAAGAACGTCCCTGATCTACCTACCTAGTCAGCATTTAGTCCATGGGATCTAGTCTGGAGCAAATCCCCTGAAAGACATGTTGTATGTTTCTGAGGTCCTGAGCACCACCTCTTTCAACTGCAAATCTATTCCTTTTGATATTTCCCACACACACGCTCCTCAGGTAGATAAAACTGTATTTCAGTTGCAATCCCTTCAGTGCTAATTTGTACAAAATACTAGTTTGTAATCCATGTTACATTTCTTCAAATTCTTTCTTGTAGGTATCCATTTTGGGTACCACTGAAAATGTCTTAGCAAAAGGATATGCTAATGGAGACTATACAAATTTGGAAAATACTTACACTATTTTGGGGTTGTTGGGTTTTTTGGTCTGTTAGTGGTTTAGGGTTTTTTAAGTCACAGCTAATTTAAATGGTTATAGTGTTGTGGTTGTACATGTTATCACTTTTAAAGAAACTTCAGTATTTATGACATTAGTCAGTGTAAAATGCAGTGCTTGATAAGCAACAGAGAATAAAACTTCCTTTTTTTCCTACTGCAATTCAAATTTTCATTCTGTTCAGTCTTTAGCCTAGGATTGTGTGTTCTCACATGAGATAAGGGATTTTCAGCCTTCAGCACTGTCTTCTTCCTAACCTAATAAAGCATTTTCAAGAAAAATAACTTAAAGTGTAGTATTAATTTTGGACAATTTGATTTAATTGTCATGCCAATACAAGTGCATTTACTTCTGTCTATGCAAGATATTTTATCTGAAAATTTTCCATTATCTCTGAATAACAGAGTACCTGACAGAGCAAGTCAGGTTATTTCTAGATGGGTTTGTAGTTTTTCGTTGGGGTTTTTTGGGTTTTTTTAACAAAAATCTAACCTGAAATTTTGTTCTTGATTCTTACCATTGCACAAGTAACTTTACATCAGTTTTTCCATCTGTGTATTGAACACACTTCAACACTGAGACCTAAGATATCTTCTAGATTTTTAAGATGCTTAAATGAAAGATGCATGTAAACACAAGATATGAATTAAGATATTATTGAATTTTAATGGCTTACAATTGGGTGAGCTATTCTGATTCTTTTAGTAATGCACATGAACAAATATTTTCTTTTTTATTAGCACATTTTCATGCATTGATTTTTAGTCATAATTTGCATTGTTAATTTGTGTCATTGCTTATTAAGGTGCAGCGCTGAAAAGTAGTAACTATTCAGTTATGCTGAATTGCTACATTAGCAATTAACTTGGGTTATTGCTAATGTCTACTTGCCCATTGTAAATCTGTTCTCTTCAAAAGTACAAAGCTTCTCTTAGATGCATTATTTTTGAGGGCTCAGTATTTATGGAAGCTTTCTGTTCAGAAAGAACCCAAACAGCTAGTTCCTTTCTATTCACATCTCACGGAAGTCAGTAATAAAATGCTTTTATATTTCTGGTCAGCACATACATTTCTAAAGTTGTTCTTTGACTTTGGATCTTTTTAAACAAGAGGAAAACTATTTTTACAGTTGATTTGCAGTCATGTATCTTGTCAGTAAACCCCCTCAGTTCAACACTGAATCGTTAGACATTGTTAGTGAAGCATTGCATATGCACTGGTTCCTTGTAATGGTTGACTGACATGATTTTGTAATGTATAAAATAAAAATAGTTTTGTTCGACCTGAGGTTTGTAATTTATATCAGAACTGACAGCAGGAAATGTGAAAGCAAATGTGGGAGCATGTTCAGAATGAATATGATTTATTCTATATTAAGTTTCAACACAGGACAGAATTTAATACATACATCATTATATATCCTAGAAATATGGTTTATTCTCCTAATATGTTGTTTTAGCTGATGTTGTCTTTCAAGAATCCTCTTCTTTATTTGTCGAACAAATGTTTTGAATATTATTTTTCATTAAAAAACCCCACAAAAACCAAACAAACCAAAAAAACCCAATCAGTCAAACAAAAAACCAAAGCACACATGCACAAGCTAAGATCACTGTGGATATGAGAAACTTACTTGGTTTTGCCTTCACTTTTGAAAATATTTTCAAGTTCAGAAAGAATTCCTTGCTTGAAAGCAAACATTTCTGTGAATATTGTTATGGTATTCTCAGTATAAACCTTTCTTCTTATGTTCTAGAATGTAGTGCAATCAACAAAAGATGCGTATGGAGTCAATCTTTCAGATGTTCCTTCAGAAGAAGATCTCACAATATACACTAGGTGAGATAAATTTCCAGTGGTAATCAGTAAAATATAATTGGACCTACTTAAATGTAGCTTGTTAGTGTTGCCTTAGATTGAATTTATTTAAATTATAAATTTTATGTATATTTAGATACATATGTTTTTCTGTTTGTAAAATCAAACTGGTTTTTAGATGTTTGTGTCAACTCTGATTTCAGTGAAAGTTATGTAGATGTTTCTGAATGCAAAATTTGGAACTTAAATCAAATGGAAGATGCTTTAATAGAAATACCTGTCAGTTCTAGAAATTAATAAACAAATTCCACATGAGGAGCAGTTTCATGGTTCTAAGCTGTGTAGTCTGTGATTTTTGCATTTTTCAAATGTTGAATTATGCTAATTGAAATCAGTCATTTGTGAAATAGCCTCTGCTATAAAAATTGCATGCAAACCAAGAGACGCTAAGTCTTTTAACATAACGTCTTGTTTGTAGAGATGTGTTAAAACTGTTACCTTTTCCTCAAATTTGAATGGTTCTGTGACTTTTGATGTTCAAGGAAAATTACTTTTCTGAATAATATGCAGCCCTTTTCTTGAAATGTTTTGGCCTTTTGAGCTTGAAATAAAAAATTGTGGGTTTTATATGGACACCTTGAGACCATTACAAAATCTGTGGCAGATTATGAGGAGAAAAGTGGTCAGAATAACTCACGCCATAGAAGCATGGATATCTAAGTGGCAGATATTTGCAATGTAAGTTTCAGGAGAGGGAGAAGTCTGTTTTGCCCTTGTCATTATTGGAGTTTCACAAAATAATGAAATGCAAGTGTATGTGGCATGTGGGTTTACGTGTGTATGTATGTGTATATATATGCACAGCACTAAGCATAGTGTGTGTGATAATGTGTTCCTAAACACTGCATTATGAACAGCATCATACTGCCACTTGTTCTTAATAAATGGATTTGTGAATTCAAAACATATGTACTGGAAGTAAGCAAGATACAGCAAAGTACAAGACAAAACATAGCTCCTTAGGTGGTCCAGCAAATTCCCACTCAGCTTCTATGCTTTGAGGTAACCTGCTACAGTGTGAGGCCACATGCTGCACAGCACCTGCAGGCTCTCCTCAGGGGCTGGGAGCTGCTGGCTTCCTGTCAGCAGTTGGAGGTAAGTGTTGGTGGCCAAACATCAAAGTGTTACCTCTGAGCTCCAGCTACACAAAAGCTGCTTTTATTCAAGGGTAACTTGGAGTTTTATCCTCTACAAGACAGTTATCACCATTCCTACAGGAACCATGAACTGTCAGCTCCCCAGGAGTGATCAGCAAATTAATGGTATGCTTCTCCAAGAAAAACAGTGACTCCCATTGTATCAGAATTGCTGTTTCTGAATTTCCATAACCCCATATAGAGCACTGGCTATGTGTTGCCATTGTTAAAAGGTGTATTTAATGTTATTCTCATGTTCTTTCCTCAGTATCAACATCTCACATTCTTTCCTCAGTATTTTGACTGAAGTTGGAAAGAAGCTGGTTCAATTTTTATTTTTTTTTTTGTTACATCAGAAATTAATTTTAACATTTTGAATTAGCTCAAACCAAAACTGAACTAGAATGATTTCAGTAATAGATGAACGAGAACTGAACCAAAAAGTTACGTGTTCAGTTCCCTGGTGGAGGAGATTCTCTCCTGAACTGCAATCTTTTTCTTTGAAAATTAGCCACAATAATGAGAATCAATACTGGAGATCAGTTGGAGAAATTTAGATCCAATTCGAAGAGCCTCTTAGTCCCTAAAGGTTTATAATGCTTTTGTGAAGAGAGCAGTTGCCTATGCAAGATGAAATGCAAAACAATTACATTTGCTTAAAAACCAGTGCTTCAAACACCTGTTTAGAATGTACAATTAATGGAGTTTGAGAAAAGAGGTGTAAGAAAACCAGCATGTCGTCTGAGGAAAATGCTGTACGTTGAAGTGAATGCTTGTGAGGCGTACATAGAAAGGGGCTTGTGTGCATTTGTTTTCATTTTCTAATGTGAAATAGCAGTGATCACCTTGTTTACTTGAAACCTCTTCAGTTTGTGAGGGAAGTTTTAATTCACTATGATACCTTCTCGCTTAGTGATATGTGAAGGTTAATCCTGACTTAGTTCATTAATCCTCTCAAAAGAATTTTTCGCTTTTTATTGGAAGTCTTTTCCTGTTAATTTTTCTTTAGGGGTAGATACTCCTTTTGCACATTTTAGCTCAGCGAAATTCCCATTTCTACCTATTTCCCACATGCTCAGTAATTTGAAGATAGTATGCTTGAACAGGGCTGAGGAGGATGTTTCTCATTATCTCTGAAATTTTTAACTTCCATTATGCCTCTAACTTTGGTTCTTTATTTTTAACCACTAGAAAATGGATGCCAATTTGACAATTACCCTTTGGTATACTGGATAGTTACTGTTCTGCAAATGGCCCAGCGTGAGCTGGTGTCTACAACAAACACTTTATGCAGATGAACAGCTTCATGACAACATCCAGAATTGCAGCTGCTTCCCATGTAATCATTTTTCAGGCTGGACTAGCATTCAGTCTATTGTTACAGTACCACTGTAAACCCCATGGGGGCTTTGAAGCTCCCCAGCCATATCTTTTCTCAAGACAAAAAAAGCGCTTGCATTTATTTTATTTTCCCCAAGTAATGCTGGTTTAAAAAAATAGAGCAATTACAGCTTCTTACCTCTTTTAGCTAACAAGACATAGTGCTATTTATGGTCTCATGCGGAAAGTATAGATTTTACTGACATCCTTTATTACAATGTACATCGTTTGAGAATAGCAGCAATTTATTTCACAGTAGGATTACATTTCTCGCTTCAAGTCTTTTTCTATTATTGTAATAAGGGAAATGGAGATGCAGGATCCTGACTCTACTTGACATCATTGGGCATGTTATGTATGTTTTTTCTTTATTACCATCAGGGACTCGCAGATTTAAAAGTACCTCAGGTTAAGTTACTCTACATCAACTAATCTACATTAAGTCTATATGCAAGTGAGAAGTACTTTGAATTTGTTCAGCCAATTTTGACTGAGATAACTTGTGTTAAATCTCATCAAAATAGAAATCACAGAAGCCCAGGTTGGTTGAGGTTGGACAGGACAGGAAGTTCTTCAAATAATTTGAGGATGTGTACTGCAGATCAGCCACGAACAGTATCTTACTGATGTCGGGTTGCTTGTGTTAATTAGGGCCTTGTTTGTTTCAGATTATTGGATAATTTGAAGCAATTAATTAAAATACACTTTTGGTTTTTCTTTATTTGTTTTGTGGTTTGGTTCCTTTTTTCCTTAAGCTTGTTTCAATTTCTGCACTAGAATATCTTAATTATCTTTATTTCCACTTATAATTCGTTCATTTAGAAATGTAAGTATTCCTTCAACATCCAAAGTGATGCTGCATGTTTATGAGACACTTGTTTCTACAGTATAGAACCTGAATGGAGCAGAAAGAAAAGCCACAAGAAGCTGTTTAGGAATGTATTGTCCCTTTGTCTTCTATACACTCTTCCGTGCAATTGCTTTTCACTGGTAACTGTCCCCTGTTAAAATCTAGTAAATATTTCTGAAATAAACCGGTGAGACTATTTTAAGCTAAATGGAAGCTAACTGTTAGGAAAAACCCTCCACGTCAGAGAATTGAAGTATTAAATCACAAGTAATGTTTACTTCTTTTTTCAGTTGCATGGATGTATTGGAGAGTGAACAAATTAAGTGTGAGAGAACTGCATTTACATATATTTGAAACTGACCTTTCCTCTTAGACTGGCTGAATAAGATTAGTGCTCAACTATTTTATTTTTCTTTTTAATTTTGCCCCAATTCATTTCCAAGAAAAAAACCATAACAGTATTTTCCATTTTCAGTGTCTTCCAGCAAATATTTGGAGATGGGGGAGTTCTCACAAAAGATTGTGCTTGTAAATAAGAGATCTGGACTAATAGCATTTTAGCTGAATAAACTAGATTGAATTTGTCTGAGGACCAACCAAAATCTGAAACTTGAGAGACTTTTTATGTCTTCTTCTGAGTTTTCCTATAGGCTATTCAGCTGACTGTTTGCTTTGAAAAAAGACATAGGAAGTTGACTGTAGCAGGCTGGCCTGTTTCATAGCAATGGAGGCCTGTCTCTATCCTCTGACATACTTGGTGACACCAGTTAATAGGCAAATCTTTTTCAAGCTTAAAGGAGCTGTTGAGTTTGCACATGTACCCACTGTAAAGTTTTAAAAATCCCTCTTGTTCATCAGAGAGGTAGATCATGGCCATTGACTTACAGAACATGACTTAAAGACTCATTTTTTGTGTCATCTTTCATTTGCTGAATTTTGTGGGGATAGTTCTTTTATTTCTTTGATTTATTCTCCTGTCTACTGCTTTCCACAGGTTTGTTCAGCTGGGACAGAGTCAGCATAAACAAGACAAGAGCAGTCAGCAATTTTGCTCAAAACACCACTTGGATAGGGTTATAAATTTGTAAGTATTCTTTTTCTTTTCCCCTTCAGCCTGTTTTTGCTTTTTTAATTTGATGTTAAGTTGTTTGAGAGTCACACTTCTGTTGCTTTCTCTCTCTCCTTTTTTTTTTTTTTTTTTTAGTTTCACCAAGGCACTTTTGCCAGTTTTTATTTACTTTTGTCTCTGAAGTGTGTGATCTCTTACCCAACAGCACAGCCACTTCATAGTACTGCAAGACCTTTACTGCAATCCACTGATTTACAGAAACTTCAGCTTTGTTCCCTGCACTCCCTATAGTCCATCCCCTCCATGCTGATGGAGTGATGGAGCCTTGAACATAGCACTTACCCAAGTAGGGATAGAGACTGGGGGTGTCTCAGTAGGGCTGAGGGAGCAGGATAACATGAAACAGATTTCATATTGTGTATGAGACAGTACTGCCTAATACCAGTGCTTAGTCATTTGGTATTGTATGTGTTTAAAGTGATGATACCACTGTGCATGGTTCATCGTTAATAAGCTTATGCTTCATAGGTAAATGTCCCTGTAGTTTTATAAAAAATATATCTGATGGGTATTAAAATAGGAAATTAGGTTGGCAAACTGGAAAACTTTTTAAATGTGAAGGAACAACCCTGAATGTTTTGAAGGGAAGTGGTTATTAAGAAAATATTTTAAAATAATAGGAATACTTTTGCTGTGAGCAAAGGCAATTGCTTTTATGTGATGGCATTTTTGATGGTGTAGGAGATAATCATTCCTTCTTGCCCCCTTAGAGTAAATTATTCCCCATGCTATGCTGCTGTAAAATGAACACAGCATTCATTAAAGAGAGTCTATCCATGTAATTCTGTTGGGTTCTGGGTAGTCAGATGTTAATTTTTCTCCTTTCCCAAGTGTAATTTCCATGTGTTTCTGAATAGTGGAAATGTGAAAGTCATGGAGCACACAAATCTCTGTCTCCTGTCGGTACTACTCTTCCAGTCATGCAGATCATCCTTCTCTGCCAGTTCTACCAAACATGCTTTTCTGTGCAGATCAGGGAGGAAACAGGATATCTTACAGTAGATAATTTTTTTCCCTCTAAAATTATGTATTTATACAGCTTAAATTTTTTTCTTCAGTTTTCGTTCTGCAGCTTTTTAAAAACATTTAAATGTTGTTTGGACAATGACAGATTTTTCTTTCAGGAAAGGTCATAAATGTAGCCATTCCTTAAAGGCATGCTGTTCAATTCTGAAATGAGGAAGCTTTCTCAGAAACCAAGTTTAAATTGTTGCTCTGAATCAGAAATTTCCTTGGAGAATACTAACTTTTTAGAGGCAAAATAACATCAATGTACTATACTCAAGATTAGGTCAAGAGAGAGGGTTTTCAGTAACAGCAGCTGAGGCACATCTTGCACTTGCTGAGCTGTATATTTCCTTGTTTCTCAAGGTGCACTTGAAGAAATTGAAAAATTATGGTAAGTTGTATTATTTTGATGTTAGGTGCATTTTTAATTGGGGAAAAAAGATCTGGCAAATTTGATTCTCCAGTAGTTCCTTCTAGATACAAATACAATTAAACCTGAGTCTTTTTCATAGTAAAATGAATCATTCAGTCTAAAGCTTTGGTTTCTCGTCAGCACTGAGATATAATGTAGGCTTAGGTTAGTTGCTGTCTTTTCCACACTTCCAAAGAAAACTTTTGTTTTCAATATCCTTTTTCAATCTTAAAAGCCCCTCACAACTTTAAAACCTTTTGGCCATTTTTATAAAATACATAATGCTAATACAAAAAGAAGTATTTCTTATTTTTACAGTGTCACTTCAGTAACATTTATGAACTCAAATATATGTTGTAGAAGTACAGAATCATAGAATCATAGAATAGTTAGGGTTGGAAAGGAGAAGCTTCTGTCTTAAATTAAAAACGGTAAGCATAGATTAGGAGCAAAATTTGAATAAAATGAATACTTGAATAGGGACTACAGTGATGCAGTGAATTAATACTGAGGAGGAGTGGAGAATGTGGAAGGATATTGAAGTTCTTCTTTTTGTTCATAGAAATTCCATGAAGGAGAAAGGAGTAGAATTTTAGTTAGAGCTAAAAGAACTAAACAGAGCTGGATTACTTTTAGCACAATCTATTACCATGTACGTGAAGAAAGACTTTGAGAACCATAGTATAATTACTGTTGGCTGACACTGTACTTGTTCCTAGTTCCCTAGTACTCATTGCTGTGTGGTGTAAGTAATGCTGTTGAAAAACATGCTTTCAATCACTTTCCAAATGTACTTCTTGTATTTATTAATTCCCTTTCTGAACAGGGAGTTGAGTATTTTGATTGACTACAGCACTTCTGGAGAAGAGTGTGGAAATGCTTTAAAGCTGTTGTAATAGAGAGTAGCTGGTTGCATACATCGAGGTACAAGCTGTCTTCAGTGCCTTGTACCCCTTGTAGACTATGCAGTATAGCAGCAATGTGTGTGCACCAGCTTTGATTCATCCACAGGTGTCTACTGTCCTGTTTGTTTTTGCAAGGCACTGATAATGCTCAGTCAGAACACTTCAGTGAGTGCTACCTGCAGCATGGTCCAGGGCTGTGTTCTCATTAAATACTTGAAAAACATACCCTGTCTTCATAAATATGCCATACAGTCCATGTTTTCAAAAATGCTCCCTTGATATTAAATGTGTAATCTATGTACAAGTAGTATATGGGCTTTTTTACTGTTTGTTTCTGTGTATATGCACATTATATGCCTTATTTTCTCACCAAGATAAAGGTAATTAAGCAAAAATCAGTGAACAGTGGAGCACCCCGTGTTTTCCACTTCTGTTTGTTTAATGCTCTGCTGGAGTATTTTTAATCTGTAATACCTCTTTAAAACATAAAAGTAGAAATAGAGCAGTACAGTTTATAATTTTAATGAAGTATTTTAAAACACTGGCTACTTTTGAGAACTGTTGCCTCAGTTTAGAGCAATTCTCTTGTTAATTCAGTACTTCCATATAACTTCGTTAGTATAATGACTTTCTTGGAGGATTGGATAAAAATAGCTTTATATTTGTAAACATGACATCATTACTCATAACTGTACTATAAAGAAAAGGTTGGTATTGAACTTGTAATTTTTCTGTGTGTTTACATGTTAGGAGTTCTTGGAGGGTTCTGTATGTTGAAAAGCAGAAGTAAATGAATAAAGGACGTTTAAGTGTTAAGTTTAATGAATAAAGGATAATTAAGTGTTAAGTATATTTATGTTTTACGTTAAACCCATGCAAAATATCTAAATAGTTTCTTGACACTGCTGTGGAAACTGAGTCAAAAGGTGCCATTAGTCAGCAAGCGACTTTGGAAAATACAAGTTATCTTGGATTCTGAAGTATGTTGTTAATAGTTTCACAGAACAGTGCTTTTTTGCATGCTCTCTGCTTCAAATACGCACCCCAATATGTTGCTCCACATCAAAAACTTACATAAACATCAGTTAAAGTGTTTATTTATGATACAAAGGATTATTACGAATATCCTCGGAAATTATAGGTGAAGAAATTGTTTGTATTCTGTCATTTGTTTACACTAAGCTTAAACCATGAAGGTGTTTTATCTGTCTTCTCCTGGTAAGGTGGCAGTCAGGATTTCTTTTTTCTTTTTTTTTTTTTTTTTTTTTTTTTTAATACATATTCTGCACTTCAATAAAGCACCTTCTTGCTAGCCCTTTGTCAGAGCAGCCCCTAGTCTTCAGCAAAGGTTTTATTTCTTCCTTTTCTTAGAGACAGGATAGCTATGCCTCTTAATTAAAACAAGCACTGCTTCAGCTCCTTGGAGATATAAATAACCTGTGTTAAATTGGGAATCATCTTCCTTACTTTCTTTCTTATCTAAAAACTCTTTGCCTTTACGATGGATTAAATTCTTTTCTGTTTGGTGATTATTTGGATTCATTTTACTTTGAGATGTCCTTTACTGGATCTCACATTCTTTAGCAGCTGTATACTAAGGAGCACACATGAGATAATTAACCACTTTGGATTATCTGAGCCAACGTAAATGTGTTTTATAATAACTTTAGTTTCTGTTTTGACTCACATATATCTGCTGTTGTGGTATTCTAAAAATAGCTTTAACAATAAGTCTTTCTCACTTAATTTGACTCTTTCCTCTTTGTGACCCTCAGTATTTTAAACAAAGCATTTATGTGATTCTTCAGCATTTGATGCCTGTGAGAATTCTCTTGAAATTTACTGGTCAGGCTGTTCATAAATTACCTGGATTTTGTCTTTTATCTGAAGATGCCCTTCACTGGGATTCTGAATGGCTTTAGCACTGTCTTTGCACTTGTCTCTTGCAAAATGTCTTGACTAAGATTGCTGTTACTGAGAGTATCTTCATTTTATATTCTGGGGAAGTGGTTTGAAAATCACTGTGGGCACTTTCCCTTAAAGTACTTAGTACTTCCTGTTGGCTAGAAAAGACAAAAGAGTATCAGGAATCAACACTACATAAAAGGAATAATTTTGTCATTTGGGGCTTGAAGGCCCTGTTCATTTTTAGTCACACGTCTCAAAAAGAATGCTACTGGGAAGGGTGTGGAGAAAAGCAATAGTATGATCGGAGTTGCAGCACTCCAGAAAAGAGCTGTCAGAGAACTGAATCCATGTTGTGATGGTTTATTAAATAAGTTTGACAGGTGAAATAGTTTGGTATAATGTTTTACGTCACAGAATGACTGGATTTGATGGGAGAAGTTAAATAACTGAGCCAATTCTAACAGCTCATTGCCACCAAAAGGGGGAGGTCCTGCTCTTTTCCTCCCTCCTCCCTCTTTACCACTTACTTTTTCAGTTAGTTGTGCAAGCTTTGCTGCTTGTTACAGTGCTCCATAAATCAGTTCAGCTCATCAATCTGCAGCAAACTAATTTCATCAAAAAAGCAAATAGCTTCCTGGCAGATTAATGAGTTTATTTAGACCAGTGAAAGTTCCAGTTATCACCGGGGCAAGCACAGAAGAGACAGAACCAGAGAGTCAAAC